TCCTCTACAGATGTTGCTAACACAACAATCGCCTACAAACTCGTATTCACGCTCCCTCTATTAGTAATTGCTCGGAGTGTAAACGTATCTAATGACAGCTACGCATGTGCAACAGATATTTTTTTCCATACGTATCTATTTACGTCAGCCGTAAACGTACGTGTTCTTATGCATGCCTAATACGCATTTGCAACTCTTTCATACAATATCAAACAGGTTAATGAAATTGAATCTTCAATATAAAACACTTTTATTTTCCAAATTTTTTACATTATGTAAAATTTGAAACCTTACAGCATCCTCGTCATTAAAATTCCCCAAAATCAAAATTTTCTCAAAAAGTACCTAGTGTTATAAAGTTGTAGATATGTTAACGTCAATGTTTTTGCTTTAACTATCTTTTTCTTTCAGATTACACGTTAAACATATCGTCAATTTCTACGTTTACATCAGAGAGATACGCATGCGTTTCTACCGTTGCTTTCTCTCTAGTATAGAGAAATATCAACCCTTAATTCTATGTTTAACTAAAACGTGTATAACAAGTGAGTTCAAGGATTCTAAATTATGGATTAATGGGTATATATTAGCCCGATGTGATTCAACTAGTCGATACACTGGGGGAGTTCTAATATTTACCAAAACATTTTTAAAAGTGTTAAATATAAAAACTTTAATCATTGATATGAATCTTTAGTTGTTATCTATAGAAGTTAGAGTAAAAGGTACTAGATACGGTGTAGCAGGTGTTTATAAGTCTCTCAACGCTAACACTACCCTATTATTTAAATCCTTTTTAAGAATGGATTGATGAATATGTAGAAACACATAGCAGTTGTAGTGTGATTATGCATTCATTTTGATAAAAATTGTCAAAAAAAAAGAAAACTCCAAAAATATATTAAAAATAATTGGATAAAACAACTAATTACTGAATTTACTAGACTATATAGGGATGTTAGGTAAACAATTAACCTCGTGTTAACTAATAATTTCATTTTAACTACTTATGTGGAAAAAATTACATAATATCAGACCATTTCATTATACAAGTCAAAATAAAAAATTTAAATATTAATTTAGAGGAAATTAAAAAAATTCGTATGAATATCAATTATGATAAAATGGTCAACATCTTGATTGAAAGGGATTGGGGATATTCTGTAGTTAATATTGATGTTCTAGCAGATATTTTTCTAGATAATGTATCATCAGTAATTAGTTTTATAGCTCCTACAAAATATATTCAAGTACATAATGTAAATAATAATTGATTTGACAGTAAATGCAGAAAAGCCGTTAAAGATAAAAATATAGTTTACAAAACATTTACATTTACAAATGATGCAGATGATTGGAAGAAGTATAAACTAAAAGGAAATAAATGTGATTGGAGCTTGAAGAAAGCCAAAAGTAATTTTTATGAAATAAATATAGATAAAAACAAGGGAAAGGCAAAGTTAATGTAGAAACATCTTAAAAGAATAGTTGGAACAAAAATTCGACAAACTACTTGTATGTGTAGGGACAGAATACAATGAGAATTTTGCTGATGTTTTAAATCAATATTACTGGAGTAGCATTCAGAATATTATGTTAACTATTGATATAAGTGATGATGACTTTAAAGGTTGCTTGGAAACAGTTTCCTTCAACGAATCATCAATGACGAAGTTTAGAACAGTTACCGTAACCAATTTGTATAAAATAAATTAAACTCAGAAAAAGAAGACTAGTACAGATGAGATTTTGGTTTTGATAACATTAAGAATCTATTTAATGTACTTGGTTATTCATTACTTAATCTAATAAAGTTTAGATAAGGGTACTGTTCCACGGAGATTTGAAACATCAATAATAATTCCAATCCCAAAAATAGCTAATATAAGCAAGGCAGATCAGTTGCGACACATAAATATGCTTCCATTTTGTGAAAATCTTTTAGAAGTGGTTGTGTACAATCAAATCATGGAATTTATAACTTTAAATAAAATACTGTTACGCAGCACCCAGCAGTAGCCTGCGGCTATTATAGGAAACGTACAGATAGAAAAGAAGTGGAATATTATTCATCGCCCTACAGTGTGTTGCGGTCGTCATAAGTAAAAGTACAAGTAAATGAAGATAGAATAGCCCAGACATGTCTTGAAATGTCATTACCCGTCAAGAATATTCAAGCAAGCTATATAAGGATGATCCTGACGTCAGTTTTCAGTTTGATGATAGACGTTACATGTTAATGTTATCAGTTGTATAAATGTTGTTAAAATTGAGTTGAAATAAATTGTGATACCGAAAACCTGTGTAACATTGGTGAAAGCAATGGGATTTTTATTATCGAACTTCATTGTCTAAAGAAACTCAAATGTAAATTAGTTTCTTAACAGAAAAGGGAAACAAATACTTAATGGTTGTTATGGACTATTTTTCAAAGTAGCTCGAAATAGTGCCTATTCCTAATCAGAAAGCGACGACAGTAGCGGAAGCTTTTATGACGAACGTCATTACGAGACATGGATCCCCTGCAATTACATTCTGACCAAGGACGAAATTTTGAATCCGAATTATAGCAAAAATTGATGAAACTGTTAGGCATTAAGAAAACACGCACTACGCCTCTCACAGTCCGACGGAATGGTTAAAAGACATAACAGAACGATATGTCAGTATCTTTCAATGTTCGTCTCTGATAATCAAGAGGACTAAGACACTTTAATTCCTCTATTTCTGCTAGCCTATCGAAGTTCTGAACATGAAACAACCAGTTATACTCCGTCCATGACGATTACTGGAAGGGAGATGAAACTTCCTCACGATCTTCTATTTGGAAGGCAGCCTCCTGGTGAAGAAGAGGGCCGTACACCTCCCACGTACATACAGAACATAAAAGAGAGATTAGAGAAGGTACACGAATTCGCTCGGCAATGTTTGAAAGTTAGTAGCGATAAAACAAAAGCCAGAATCGACATGCATGCCACAGGGGCACATTTTGAGAGAGGCGATCCAGTATGGCTGCAAAATTCCAAGCGCCGAAAAGGACTTTTTTATAAACTGCAACGGAACTGGGAAGGCCCCTACACCGTCCTCAAGAAAATTAACGACCCGATCTACCGCATTCAGTTGTCAGCGGGAAGTAAACCCAAGATAGTTCACGTTGAACAGTTAGCGCCATATCGTGGTCCAGATCCTCCCCGTTGGCTCCAACCAGGTCCCAGTAATCAAGGTATTCATGGCGAATAACTAGAGAGGAGGAAGCAATGTTACGCATTACCCAGCAGTAGCCTGCGGCTATTATAGGAAACATACAGATAGAAAAGAAGTGGAATGTAACTCATCGCCCTACAGTGTGCTGCGGTCGTCATAAGTAAAAGTACAAGTAAAAGAAGATAGAATATTCCAGAAATGTCTCGAAATGTCATTACCCGTCAAAAATATTCTAGACAACAGTTCGAGAAAGTTCGAGAAGGGTCAAGCAAGCTATATAAGGATGATCTTGACGTCAGTTTTCAGTTTAATGATATACGTTACATGTTAATATAATCAGTTGTATAATTGTTGTTAAAATTGAGTTGACATAAATTGTGATATTAAAAACCTGTGTAAAAATAATATGCAGTTAGGAAAGTTAGGAAAGCACATTTTTGTGAGTTGTTTCAGATATGAAAAATATTCTTGATAAACTAGGAGTTGGTATCTGCGCAGTTTTTATTGATCTTAAACGTACATTCGAAACGATTGACCGTAAAATTTTAATTTAAAAATTAAAAAAATATGGATTTAGGCAAACTGTCTATGATTGGTTGTATAATAACTTATTAAATAGATGCGAAGTAACTAAAATTAATAATGAGGTATCAAATCCAAAATTGAATACTTTTGGTGTGCCGCAGGTAAGTGTGTTTGGACACTTACTATTCCTGCTTTATATAAATAACTTGGTTATAACAGGTTCTTAAAAAATGTAAAATACAAAATTTTGCAGATGACACGTTTATCTATTATTATGGGAATGATTTGGCTGAAGTTGCTGAGGCTGTCAACCATGAATTGGGGTTATTAACATCTAAATTTAAACAAAATAAACTAAGGTTAATGAGATGAAGTCAAAATTTATGTTCATTGGTAACAACTTTCTATACAATAGATTTTTAAATTTAAATTTAGACATTAAAATAAATAACGAAACAGTAGAAATGGTCCAAGGAATAAAGTATTTAGGATTTATGTTGGATAGAGAACTAAAATTTAATAAACACATTGAGTACATCTATAAAAAAAGGAAAAAAAAATGTTTACGAAGAGTGCTACCGTATCTATCAATTTTAACTAAATTGACTGTATATAATACACTTATCCTACCCCACTTTTACTATTGCTTATCTTTAATATATACAGGATGTTTCAATTTTGATAGACTATAGGTCCTACAAAACAAAGCGATGCGAGTGATACTAGGTTGTTACAAATATACCAGTATTTACTTTATGTTAAACGCCTTAAATTGGCTAAGTGTTGAAAAACTGCTATATATGTATAAACAATGGTTTTCATATTTAAAATAATAAACAATTTGTTGCCTGAATATCTAACCTGTCAACTAATCCCGGTCACAGAAATACATCAAAGAAAAACAAGAGCAGCAAACTCTATAAATTACAAAGATAATTTACTCACATCAGTTACTAGTAAACTTAATCTATTACTTTCAATTAATATAAAACAATCTGACATAAATAATATTTATTATCTTGGTGGAGGAAAAGGAAATCCAATTAAAATTGAGTTCACCTCGTATCTTACAAAGAAAGACATTTTCACAAATATAACAGAGTTAAAAAATCCGAAGATAAATTGTTCATTACCAACGACCTTTGTTATCAAGATAGACAAGATCAAAAAATTTTGTCTAAACAGTTGAAGGCAGCTAGAGCATTGGGAAAGGAAGCAAAAATTAAACGTAATACCTTGTTTGTTGTTTGTTAGTGGTGTCCCATTTACAGTAAAGGATTTGAAAGTAAAAGAAGTTGAAGAGAAGGTTAATGAAGACGAAATTGAGACATCAGAGACAGACAACGAGAAAGATAACGATTCTTCTCTTAAAAATAAACATTTATCACCAGAAAATTTTCCTCCCTCAAAAAGAACAAGAAGAAAGAACAAACACAATTAACCCGCCTATGGGACACGAATTTATTCACCTTTAATTTGATTAAAATTTTGGTAGGAACTATTTAATATTTTAATATTCTATTTCTTCTTTTTATTTCAATATTAAAATAAAATTTTTTGTTTAAAGGATTGTTTAAGTCTCTTTATATTAATTTATATTAGGTACTTAATGACAATTTGTAAAAATGAAAGAGTTTTCAGTTGCGTTTTACAAATCACGTTCGTTAACTAAACATTTTACAGATTTCAAAGTTCATATTATGAGAGAAAAATATACTGTTGTTGGTGTTTGTGAGACTTGGCTTACAAAGAGAATATCTGATAATATATTTATTCCTGGTTATATTATAGTAAGACTCGACAGAGAGGTTCAAATAGGTGGTGGTGTATGCATATACATAAGATCTGATTTAAAAAATGAACTATTGAATATAAAAACTAACGATAATGTTGAACAACTATGGGTAAGACTATATATTAATAAACTTACATTTGCTATTGGTACCTACTTACTATCGACCACCTCAAAAAAGTTTATTAGAATTTTTAAATAATATCGAAGAAAACGTTTCAGATTTAATTACTTCTCACTCTGGGATAATTATTGGGGGAGATATAAATATTAATCTTTTAGATATCACGTCTAACAAAGTAATAAAATTGTTTAATACTATAGAATTATTTAATTTTAAGCAAATTATTGATAAACCAACACAGAAACTTTATTAGATGTTATTATAATTCCTGAAGATCAAGAAGTAAGTTCTTACGGCAATGTTGAATTTTACGACACTGATCATGAGCTAGTTTTTTGTCAATTAAATCTATCTTTACCTGAAGTGAAGAGTAAATGCATTGTAACTAGGAATCTAAAGAGTATAGATCAACAATTATTACTTCCTGCCTACAAACAAGTAATTTTGAAAATATTTTTAATTCAATTGATGTAAATGATATGGTTATGTATTTTACAAACAAGTTGCTAAGAGTATTTAATACATTATCACCACTTAAAAAGATTAAAATAAAAAAACCAAGGCCACCGTGGCTCACTAACAATATTAAACTAATGATGAGACTGCGGGACAAAGCTTTAAAAAAATTTAAGAGAACAAAATTCCCTCATCATTGAGACTACTACAAAGATCTCAGAAATTTTACTACAAACGCAATTAGCAATGAAAAAAGAGCCTATTTACAATATCTTACAAATAATAATATAAATAAGAGAAACCTGTGGACCAGACTGAATGATCTTAATATTTATAATAAATCTAAAGAAAACGTAATTCCTGATAATTTAAATGATTCTAATAAGATTAATGAGCATTTTTTATTACTTCCGTCAAATATGCAAATACCAGATAATAATTTGTTACAATTTTATAAAGCAAACAGAAAAATAAACCTAGAACATCCTTGTGTATTTGTATCTGTTGATGACAATATTGTGTATAAAAATTTGTTAGAAATCAAGTCAAATGCGATAGGACCAGATCCTGTACAACTTAACATGCTACTTTTGTGTTGTCCATATTATATTACAATTTATCATACATATTATTAATTTCTGTATAGAAAATAGTGTTTTTCCAGAGCAGTGTAAAGCTTCTAAGATATTACCATTGTCAAAAAAAAAGAATATTTCTAGTATAAATGAGTTACGGCCTATTGCCATACTACCAGTGTTGTCAAAAATAATTGAGAAAATTATTAAACTTCAAATTAATGTACATCTAAATAAACACAATATTTTACCCACACATCAGTCAGGATTCCGTCGAGGATATAGTTGTAACACAGCTCTTTTAGATATTACAGATAATTTATTTAGAGATATAGATAGTGAAAAAACGATTGCTTTAACATTAATAGATTATTCAAAGGCTTTTGATACAATTAACCACCAGATCTTGTTGGCCATCTTAAAATACATAGGATTTTCAAATAATGCTGTAAAATTTTTAAAAAATTATTTATGTGACATATGCCAATGTGTAGAAACTTCCTCAGGTAGATCAGACATTAAAAGTATTCATTGTGTAGTACCACAGAGCTCTATTTTAGGACCAATATTGTTTTCAATATATACATGCAATATTTATAGTATTTTAAAATTTTGCAAATTATATATGTATGCGGATGACATACAGCTCAAGTATTTATTTTACAGCAGTGACGTACTACGTGCCAATGAACTAATTAATCAAGATTGGACCAATCTATCAATTGAGTCCAAATGGCACTTTCTATCAATAAATCCTTTTAAAACGGTAGTAATAATTTTCGGTAAACATAAAGATTAAGTTAAAAGTGAAATGAAAGTAAATATAGAACAGACAGTATTGCCATTTGCTAAAGTTGCTAGAAACTTAGGTTTAGAGATTGATAATGAATTGAGATTCAAGCCACACGTATCAAAATGTATCCAAAAGCCCTACGCTAATATAAAGATGTTATTTCCTCATAGACATATTTTATCTACATCCACTAAAATTTTGTTTTTTGATTCTTTAGTTCTTAGTCATTTTAATTACTGTGATAGCGTATATGGCCCTTGTTTAGAAATTACTGACAAAAATCGTATCCAAAGAGTACAAAGATCCTGTCTGCGTTTTATCTTTGAAATAAGAAAATTTTATAGAGTAATTCACAAATTAAGTGATGCTAAATGGTTGGATATGACATGTAGAAGAAGACTTCATATGGCTACTCTGTTTCACAAAATAATTTTATTTAAGTCGCCTCCATATTTGTTTAATAAAGTTAGCTATCGCTCAGATATTCACAATATAAATATACGTTCACGCGGTAAAATATTTCCACCATCACATCGAATTACGATGTTCCAAAGATCCTTTACTTACTCGTACATGATATACATATAAGCTTTATAACGGAATTTCAACAGTTAAACATTTACAGTATAAGTCGTTTTACAAAAACATGTAAGAAAATGTTGTACAATAAGGATATAAACATTGATTAGTCTCTAAATAAACATTAATTTATTAGTCTATATATTTTTCTCTCGAATACATGATTTTAAAATTATTAAATATTGATATTTTAGTTTAAAGGTTGATTGTAAACGCTTGTTAATATTTATTATTTTTTTTTGTCTGGGGCTGGTACTTAGAATCAGTTTTACTGTATGCCAGCTCTATTTTGCAGTGTTACATTAAGTGTTTTTTTACAATTATATTTTTTTGTTCCATATTCTGTGTAAGCTGCAAATAAATGAATTTATTATTATTATTTTATTATTATTATTATCAAATTTTATTTACAAATAACTAATCAAAGTAGTTCTATGAAAAGGGATCAATCAATTCAATCATCTGCCTCAAAATTTTAAAAATGTTCAGAATCGTAGTCAATTTTAAAAAGAACTTACTTCTTTTACTTGTTATACTTTTAACCAATCTGTTATGTTAAATATCATCATTGTTTCTTTTATTTTTTCTCGTTTTTTTATTGTATGAGGGACAATTATATTATGTTAAGATTTAAGTTTTATGTTTAGTTTGTTTTTGAATTAATTATGAAGTTCATCTTTATATTGAATTGTTGATTTATTTTGAATTATTGTATGATATTATCTTTGTTAAATAAAGTTATTAAACTTTTCGAAAAATGTATTGCTAGCGAAGGGATTTTCATTAAAATGAATATCTTTACACTATATTATGTTATAATATATAATTAAATTTTTGTTGTATTTGATGTGATCCTAATAAACATTTAAATAACACTGTAATTATTTGATTAAATTATTCTATTTATCTTCCTTAAGGAGGAATACATACCCTCGCTTATTTGAAATAAAAGTCAAACGCCGTTATTTACCAAGCAATTTTTTTTAAATTTTGAGAGTTAATTTACTTCATACTTCTAAAAAAAGTATGGGAGCAGATTTTTTTTGAAAAGTCTAATTTTTGAGAAAAAAATATGTTCACTCCGATTTTATTTTTTTTTTCAAAAATCTGCTGACATAACTTTTTAGATATTAGTTAGATGTAACCATTCCCAAAATTTCATGCTTTTATCTTTAGCTGTTTGAGCGCACAACAAAAATAAAGGTTTTTGTTCTAAAACTTGCTAAAAATAAATAAAATATTTGTTAGCGTTGGTCGAAACTCTCACCAGTGCCGTGGCGAGCGAGCTTGGATGTGTTCACCTTTCTGAGATTTTGGATTTTTATGTTTCTGACAGTATGTCTGTTTTACTTTCCTCCTGCATTTTTTTAAATAATTTTATAAATTTAAATGAACATTTAGTGTATATTTTTGTCAATATATTTTAAAAGCGGATTTGTAATTATTATTATACAAACTTCAAAGGCAAAAAAAGAAAATACAAAATATTTGGCTGATGCAGACGCGTTTATATCAAGAATAAAGTTTTCCGAGAAATCAACAATATCTTATTCCAAAACAACAATCTTTTAATCCCCTAATTAAAAAACAATTATAGTTTTATAAAACTTTATAAATCGGTTAATGAATCTAATTCTATATAGGAAATTAGGTTATTTTAATATTCAATAAAACTTTAAAGTTTTATTGATTGACACTCATCTGGTTTAATAACAATGTTTTGAAGAATATTGATAGGGGTTAAAGTATCAGCTACCTGCGAATCGCAATGGGAAATACCTATCAAGGTAGGTGATTCATGATCTAAATATATGTTGTAATGAAAATACCCTATATACAAAACTAATAAATCTAATAATAATAACCATATTAATAATAACAATAATAATAATAATAATAAGAAATAAAATAATGTTGGAAATGTATACCCTGTATAGTAAAATTTATAAGAGAGTCATAGAAAAGGGTGGTTTCTAGGTTTAAGTATTATTGATTGTCAATTTTGAAATTTAGGAAAAGGGATGTCAAAATTAATTTTGTAGAAATAATGTATTTTTAAAATATGGAAAAAGAATTATAAAACTGATATATAAGACATTAAACAAATTAATCTAACCAAACA